GTTTGCCGCCAGATGAGCGGGCGCTGTTAATGCGTGTCGTATGTCCTGTTCTGCCAGGAATTTTTCAAAGGCTAGTGCGGTAAATTGCGGGCCGTTGTCTGACACTAGCACATCTGGCAGCCCATGTGTGGTGAACAGTTTGTTTAGTTTTTTTATGATGGCTTCTGTGGTTGCGGTTTTCATGATGCTTACCTCCAGCCAGTTGGAGTAAGCGTCTATGGTGATCAGGAATGTGTGTCCCTTGGTAGGACTGGCGAAGTCTATGTGGATTCTAGACCAGGGGCCCCTGGGCGTTTCCCATTCCAGGATCGGGGTGGTGGTGGGGCTTGGTCTAGTTTCCTGACACCTTTTGCATGTGGCTACCCAAGTCTCGATCTGTTTGTCCATCCCTGGCCACCAGGCGTAACTCCTGGCTAGGGCTTTCATTTTGACAATGTCTGGGTGCCCTTCATGCAACATAGACAATACCCTTCTTTGCAAAGTCTCTGGAATCACAACCCTGTCCCCCCAAAGTATGCAACCCTTTTTTTGTGAAGAGTTCAGTTTGCCGGTTTCTGAAGGTTTTAAATTGTTTGTCACCATCGCTTTCCGGCCACCCTTTTTCCACCCAGCTCAAGACTCGCGCCAGCCGCTTGTCTTTATTAGTCTATCTGGCAATGTCTGACGCGGTCAGGGGTGGGTTGGGTAATGTCTCAATGTGCAAGGTTGTTGTTGTGGGTGCCGGGTCGTTCTCCAGGTCTGGCAGGAGGGAGTGGCGCAATGCGTCTGCATGCAAAATATTCTTGCCGGGCCGGTGTGTCAGCTGGTAGCTGTAGGCGGCAAGGAACTCGGACCACCTTGTCATCCTAGGTGACAGGATGTTTGGGGTGGCCTTATTCCCTGCCAGGATCCCTAGCAGTGGCTTGTGGTTGGTGATAATTGAAAAGGTCCTACCATAGAGATACTTGTGGAAACTTTTCACACCGGAGATGACTGCTAGGGCCTCCTTGTCCAGCTGGCTGTAGTTCCTTTCCGGTTTGGATAGCGTTCTTGAAAAGAAGGTGATGGGTGCTTCTTTTCCATCTGGTAGCATGTGGCTGAGGATGGCCCCGATGCCAAAGGGTGACGCATCGCATGTCACAGTCAGCGGCACGGTCTTGCTGTATTGGATAAGGACTGCGTCTGATGTTAGCAGGTCTTTGGTTTGTTTGAAAGTGTTTTCCTCCTGCTTCTCCCAGGTCCAGGTGGCTGTTTTGTCCAACAGCCTATGCAAGGGTTCCGCCGCGGTCACCTTTTGTGGTAGGAAAACATTATAGAAATTAATGAGTCCAAGAAAAGCCTGCAGTTCCGCCTTATTCCTTGGTCTCAGGGCTTCTTTGATGGCCCTCAGCTTTTTCTCGGTGGGGTGGATTCCGTGCTTTCTAGGAGGTACCCCAGGAATTCGACCCTCTCGGTGCACAGCTGGCATTTTTCTTTTTTAACTTTAAGCCCTGAGTCTTTGAATTTTTGTAGTACCTCCCTTAGGCGTTTTTCCAATTGTGTTTTATTGGTAGCTGCCACCAGCACATCATGAAAGTAGGGCATCACCCCTTTGATCCCTTGGAGCAGTCTTTCCATTAGGCTCTGGAAGACCCCTGGTGCCACGCTGACTCCAAATTGGAGTCTGTTACATCGGAATGCCCCTCGGTGGGTTACGATAGTTTGCGCCTCTGCAGTTGTAGCATCGACTGGCAGCTGCCAGTAGGCTTGTGTCAGGTTGAGCTTTGCGAAGAGCCGGCCTCCCCCTAGTGAGTGCAGGAGATGCTGTATTACTGGGATGGGGTAGGCACTCTGCTGCAGTGCGTGGTTGAGGGTGGCCTTGTAGTCACCGCAAATTCTTACAGACCCATCTGGCTTGATGGGGGTGACTATGGGGGTCTCCAATTGGGCATGGTCAATCGGCTCTAAAACCCCTTGTGAAATGAGCTTGTCTAACTGCTCATTGATCTTGGGCTTGAGCGCGAATGGCACTCACCGTGGCTTAAGGCAGATTGGGGCAACGTTTGGGTCTAGATTGAAAGAGATTGGGGACCCCCGGTACTTGCCTAAGGTGTCGTCAAAGACCTCTTGGACGTCCCTCATGAGCGCCGCTTCCCAGTCCGCCTCTTCAATGTGGTGGATTCCCATCACCTCGATTCCCAGCGGTGTGAACCATTGTAGTCCCAGCAGGCTTGGGCGGTCTCTGTCTACGATGGTGAGCGGTAGCACTTCGGTATGCCGTTTAAAACTTATTTTGAAATGTCCAGTTCCAACTACAGGGATACGGTTTCCCTGATAGTCCTTTAGGGTCAGCTTTTGATTTTCCAGCTCATGGCGGTGGATGGTAGGCACCAGGCATTTGATTGTGCGCCAGGAAACCATGGAGAGGTAGGATCTGGAATCCACCTCCATCTCACATGGTTGATCCTCGATGCCCACCTCCACGTGCACCTTCCAGACGTCGATGGTCGAGGAGTGTCCGATGACGACCGTCTGATGGGTCTCCTCTCTCCGCCGTGCCTTGCTGAGCTGCTTGCTTTGTCCATCTTGGCTCCATTGGCTCTCGGTGTGGTGGTCTTTGGTCCTGGTGGGGGTGCCGTCTCGTCGCCGGGGGCTGCCGTCTCATCATCGGGGGCTGTAGTTCCGCCTATTCCAGCACACCTTGGCGATGTGCCCCTGCTTGTCGCAATGACAACAGATAGCATCAAGGAAACGGCATTCAGAGCAGGGGTGATCGCCTCCACAGCCGGCACACTGGAACCCCGACTTATGTCCTCTCTGCTCCTGCCAGTCGTGCTCCGCCTGGAGTCGGTGGATTTCTTCCTCCTTGTCTTCGGTGTCGGAGAGGGAATCGATGTCACCATGGTGGGTGGTGGTGATCACCCGGTGGCTGGTCTCTGTGTGTTTCTCAGGGGCCGGGGTTGTCTCGATGGCTGCTGGCCAGTCCGCTGCGCTCGCCTGCTGCATCCAAGCTGCCAATTTCTTGGTTGCTTTGGCTGCAGTTGCCTCAGTGAGGGCTTCGGTGAAGGAGATGTTGCCCCTTGCCATTAGCCGGCTCTGCAGAATGGGGTCCTTGAGCCCAAGGACAACATGGTCTCGCAGGGCCTCGTCCATGTCGGTGAAACTGCACATGCCTCCGAGGTCCCTCAGTTCAGCCATGAAGTCGCTGATACTCTCACCCTCCTTTTGGTCCCGCCGGTAGAAATCGTGCCTTCTGATGAGGGTGGGCACGGTGGGGGCATAGTGGTTCTGCAGCAACGGTTCGAGGTCAGCCCAGTCGATCGCCTTTACGTCGTCAGGTTTGGCTAGGGCCTTTGCCATATTGAACACTGCAGGCCCGCAGTGTGTCAGGAACATGGCCCTTTTTTTTTGTCCGTTGGCATCTTTTAGATTGCTGCTTTTCAAGAACATTAGGAATCGGTCAATGTAGGATTCCCAATCCTCGGTAGCCTGGTTGAAGGGTGCGGGTGGCGTGGTTTTGCTGGCCAATTTTGTCAGTCGTTTTGTGCCGCTTTGCCACGTGCTTGGTTGGTCTCTTGTCTCACAATCCCACCTTCGTCGCCAGTGTTAGATCAGGTAGATCGGCTCCCACAGAGACGTGAGACCATAAGTGATCATTCAGCTCTTTATTGTATATACAGACCAGTACAAGACCTGCGAGCCACAGCAACCCTTCATATAGGAATTGCTTGCAGCTCAGCAGCCAATGACAGGGCTTTGAATCTCCCGTGATCAGCTCGGCCAATCGCGGTTGATTCTTAATGCGCCAATCACGGCCATTTAGTTGGCCAATCAGGTTGCGGTCCGTGTGGACCAATCAGGATTCAGGGTTTGGAGTATGCTAATACAGAACAGTGGGACCATAAAATAGAAAATGTCATAAAAAATGAAGAAGTTAAATTGCTCTGGAACTTCAGAATCCAAACAGACAAACAACTGCCACATAACAGCCTGCACTTAACAGTTGTCGATAACAAAGACAAAAAAAGTCTGGATAGTGGATCTGGCAGTGCCTGGGGATGGCAGAATAGAAGAGAAAGAACTGGAGAAGATAACAAAATACAAAGACCTACAAATAGAATAGAATGACTATGGCAAAGGCAAGCAAGGATAGTACCAACAGTAATAGGTGCCTTGAGTGCAGTCCCAAAACAATTGGAGCACCCCTTGAACACCATCATTGTCATTGACAAATTTGCCATCAGTCAATTGCAGAAGGCAGCTTTACTTGGAACAGCTTCCATCCTGCGACAATATCTGTAACACCGTCAAACATTCAGATCTGCCTATCCCAGGTCCTTGGTAAGGACTTGATAGGTAGGCAAAAATGCCAAATCCAGTCTGAACATCTGGCCGACTGTGCGATGATTAATAATAATAATGATACAAACACTCAGGTCCTTATTAATGTAATTAGCATAGTCTCTTTTTAAGATGGTGGGTTTCTTCTATAAGCAGACATTCATGCACAAGTGCCTTTGTGGTTTGACCAAGATAGCGACGTACAGGAGGACTAAAAACAGGTGCTGCTTAATGCTTTTTGTGGGGTGGGGGAGCTCAATTTTGCAGGTGGTATCATTTTCTGAAACTGATGTGGCCCTGCTTATCAGGGAAGAAGAGTGGCAAATATTTGAAGTGGTGCTTCACATTACAATGGTTACAGAAGGGAAACAGAGCATCATAAGATTTTTACGTAGCTATTTAGGAAGTCTCTGCCACGGTTTTCTTCAAGCAGGAAAGAAAAGATCTTTACCATTTGGAACTGTCCAAATGAAACCTGTGCACAATTCTTTTTAACAGGTGGTCATTTCCTCTCTCCTCTCGCGTGCCCATACAGTATTTTGTGCAAATAAAGCAGCAATTCTGTGCCATCACCAGATTGAAGGATGCTAAAGAAAAGGGGGGGGGGGTGGAGAAGAGAGGAAGTGAGAAAAAGTATGACGAGCAGAGGTGGTGAGCTTTCTGTGTGCTGGCCCTTTAAGAGATAGCCCTCCCAGCGCTGTTCCTGGGCGATGGCTTTTAAAAAGCCTGAGCGCCCTATTCCTAATGCATTGTGTGGTACATCAGCTACGGAAGGTGCAGGTGAGTGCTCAGGATGTGTGTGTGTGTGTGTGTGTGTGTAAAACCAAAAGGATTGGAGTGTGTCTCTGCTTTGTTGATGGGGCTCTTGCTGAGAGCGCTATGGGTTGCAAGGGGAGTCTTGTGCTGTTGATTTTATCTTGGCTTTAGAACTTCGATGGGCAAAGCACAGAGCCCTGTGAAGTAGGTCCCCGGGGAGCACACTCCTGTATTAGGGTTCAGGCAGTCCTTCCTCTCTGATTTAACTGGCACTTTGTCTCATTTGGAATTGGGAAGGCATTTTCTTTCCCACCCACGTCAGCCAGCAGCCTTGGAAGTGGATGCCGTTTTGTCATTTCATTTAAATGTCATACCCAAGAGAGTAGCTATCTCTCTCCTGATGCCCAGCTGTCCTTGCTGGGAATGATGGGGGTTATAGTCCAACACGCGGAAGACCTCAGAGCCTGGGGTTTGGCCAGAGAGATCTGCAGTCATATTCCCCAATGGTGAAGCCAACTAGCTAGTCTTTTTGAAATGTTTATTCCCCAAGCCGGTGTACTTCTTAGGGAGGTTGTGAGAATAATATAAATTATCTCATAGATGCAATATCCTGAGCTCCCTTGAGAAAAATGTGTGGGTTTAAGGGTTGCATGTGTGTTATTTATTTACAATTCTGAGATCTGGTGGAGCTAATTCATGAATAAATGACCAGGCTGCAAACTCATCTTCTGGGATCTTTGGGAGGGTTGGCCTGCGTAAGACTTGAACGCAGCACTTTCCTCAGCGTTACTGTATTCTGAAGAGCTCTCCTATTCTGTGGGAAGCATTTGGGCCTTGGAGGGTCTACTCGGGCAGGGGATGTACAATGATCTTCTGCAGCTGCATGACCTTAGAAGGTGCAAATTTAATCAAATCTTCTTGATCCCAGTTGGTTCTTCCGTGTGGAGTTGGTGCTGGGCTGAGACAGAGAGGCTTTAGCGTGTCGGCAGGAGGTGAAACGGGGCTCAGGGCCATCATCGACTCACACGGGCTCAAGGTTTCAAGAAGGAAATGGTGCTAGCAGTGGGGTGGTTGCATGCTCCTAGGGATGACTGTATGGTGTTAACAATGTGCTGTTTTGCAGGAACTATGAGCCGCAAAGTTGTGAGGTCCAGTAAATTCCGCCATGTCTACGGGCAACCAGTGAAGGGTGACCAATGCTATGATGACATCCGTGTTTCTCAAATGACATGGGATGGGAACTTTTGCTCTGTCAACCCCCAATTCTTAGCCATCGTTGTGGAGGCCAGTGGTGGAGGAGCCTTCCTGGTCCTGCCATTGTCCAAGGTGCCCTCCCCCACCTTCTTAACCCCCTCCTCTTTTGAGACCTCTTTCAAAGCTTTTCTGGTTTATCCCAGGTCGTCTTCCCAGCAATGCTCAAGGCAGGTTCTTGCCAAGGAATCCCATAGAAAACTGCAAATCTAACTTCTGCCTTCTTCCCCGTCCTCTGCTTTTTTTGTGGTTTTCTGGGGACTTGCACAGCACGCAAGAAGGGGGCAGGGATTGGTGGAACTGCTGGTTTTTTTTTACCTTAAATGGTTAGGACCTGTTACGGAAATAAGATGAAAAAAAAAAAGAAAAAAATGAAGAAGAGGAAGTGGCTTTGGGGGCAGCAGGAGGAAAAAGAACCGACATCAGTTAGCAATAATTAAAGTTCTCCTCTGTGCTTTCTCATGATGCTTCTAGTTTCACACTAAACTCCATTTCTTCAATGGTTGATCCCCCAACTCAGCAGTCCTGGTTCTCATCCCTGTGGCCTCATCCATTCAAAAATGGAAGCTTGCGAGTTGGTTGCTCACGGTCTCCCATCCTCTCTGTCAATCTGAGCTTTATATTTGGGAGCAGGGGATTGGCTTCCTCTCCTGCTTTCTGTAATGTGTAACTTCTCTTCCCCACAGCCAGGTTGTATGTTTTAAGTGTCTCCTTGAAAGGCCACAGTAGCTACATGAAATTTCCTCCAAATTTGATGACTACCGTTGTTATGAATTACTCTAGCCGTTATATTTTTCCCCTTTCAAAATCAAAGTTTAGATGTAGGTCAACTCAGTGGATTGCTTTTCCAGACATTCCTGGCGAAGCCCTTGTGCTTGCCCCTAGGATATATCTCATGATTTCAGCATGACATGGAGAAGATTCAGAGGCAGCAAGCAATAAATGGTGTGGGAAAGGAGAGAAGGAGGCTATAGAACAACACGTAAACCAGGCTGGTGGCCATACGTTCTCCCTTCTTTTCCCATTTGGATAAGTGGCAGTAGATTCAACCCACTGGCCTAACATTTTTCCTGGATTCCAGTTTGTGAATTCCAGCCCAATCAGCTCTTCTTGGAGGCAATGGATGGGAAGGTCACAGAAGGAGAGGGAATAGAGATCTTAAAACTCAAACTGTAGGAATTGCTGAAAGGATAGCGAATGGTTACAAGTTTCTCAAGTCTTTTGCTCCAGGTGCTTTAAGGCCTTTGCCAACCGATTAAAAAGAAGAAGTAAAAGCAAACTTTAAAAAAATAGACCTCTCCCGCAGCAGTGAGTCCAGCTTCTAACTCTCTTAAAAGAGATTGGTGTCAGCAAGAGAACATTTTCACAAGTGAAAAGTTGTGATTTGCTATGAAAATGATTCAGCATGTTAAGTGTCGTATCAACTGAATAGATAAAAATAGGGATAGCAGTAATGTCTGTGGATCCAACTATGGTTAAAGGCACAGAAATAAATGGTGCCTTGGTGAAAATTTGGCAACTCTATTGTTATTTTCCCTGAATGCAGAAAGATGTGGGATTCTGGGAAGGGGGTGGGTTAGATGGCACTGTGGAAACAGGGATCTATAAACATGTGCCTGCAAAAGAGCTAATTAAAGAAGGAAAGTGAGGTGGGCGGGAAAGAAATTAAGAAAGAGATGGAAGGATCTTCCATCTGGAAGTAAAAGAGGAGGGTGCAAAAATCCAGATGCCTGTTAGCTCTGGATGCTAAAAGTTTGGGTCTGGCAATTAATCTGCTGCATGGTTTGTTCTGTTTTAAACTTTTAACATTCGATGACAATTTCTCTTCCTGTAATAAATTGTTGGGCAGCAACATGGTTAGGCCTCTACCTTGTTCCCTCCCTGCTAAGGATCTTCCTCTGGCCCCTTTGTTTCTCTCCCATTTGCCCACCTTCTCCAAATGCAAATGGCATAACTCAGTGTTGACCTTAAGCAAAGCTAAGGTAAAGATTTCTCCTCCAGTGGTGACTGACTCTAGGGAGTGGTGCTCACCTCTGTTTCCTAGCCAAGGAAGCCAGCATTCTCCAAAGATAATTCCATGGTCATGTGGCTGGCATGACTATACACCGAGGTGCACGGAACACTGTTATCTTCCCACCAATGGAATCTATTTACTTGCATTTGCACGCTTTCGAATAACTAAGTGGACAAGACTAGGGTCAAGAACAGGAGCTCACCCTGTTATGTGGTGCTTGGGTCCGGAAATCTGCCAAATTTCCGGTGGACAAGTCCAGAGTCTTAACCATTAGGCCACCACGTACCTGACCCGTGTTGACCTTAGCACCCTCAACTTCTGAAGACAGAACTACCTACTATCTGATTAATGCCTGTGTTTTGTTTTATAAACCAGGGTTGGGGTTTTGTATGAAGTTACCCTTTCTATTTCTCATCTGCTGGTAGAGCCAATGGAGATTAAAGAGATTGGGACAGGATGATGCCGATCAACTTGTACTTGTGATAGGCCTTAAACTCTGAAGGCATTCTTCCAGTTCTGGGTGTTTATCTCAAGGTTGGGGGAAATGAACATGGTCAGCCTATTGCTTGCTCTACACTGATCATCTACACCAGGGGTGTCCAACCTTGGCAACTTTAAGACTTGTGGAGCTTTGCTGGCTGAGTCTTAAAGTTGCCAAGGTTGGACACCCCTGGTCTACACCAATTCAGTGAGCCCAGGAATAATTGGGTCTCCTGGTTCTCATCATATGGCTTCCTATGGGCCATGTTCTCAAAGTAAAATGTCTGCTTTATGGAATACAGAAAAACAGCACAAGCGCTGGAAAGTAAGAGTTGCCATTTGAAATAAATCCCTGATGCATCGAAACAAACATTCTATCTTCCTTTTTTTGCAGACTGGTCGCCTGGATAAAGCCCACCCTGTGGTCTCGGGGCACACAGCTCCTGTGTTAGACGTAGAGTGGTGCCCCCACAATGACCATGTTATTGCCAGCGCATCCGAGGACTGCACTGTTATGGTAAGTGGTCAAATTAATAAAAGGGAGAAGGAGAAGGAAGGGACTGGGCAGTTTGCCCAGGCACCGCAAAGCCAGGGGCACTTTATGTTCCTGAGGACATCACTGGTCACAACCTTGCCTTGTTGCTTACAAGAATATTTTTTGTGCATAGTTGTTTTTTTTTAAAGTAGCAGTAAGCTCTCTGGGCCTCTCTAGGATTTGGGACTAAACTCTTTGTTATCCTAGGCCACCAGCATTCTGACAATGCATTTTGGAGAACATTGAGTCTGTTAGCCCTCATCTAACCTGCTGTCTTGTTTCTTTCAGTAGTAGCTCCTGTAATCCCCCCACCAGAGGCTTACAACCGGTAGATAACAATTCTTGCTGGAACTGTTTTCCCTCAGAAAAATCAGGAGCGAGCAGAAAAAGGGAAGAAAAGAGAAGTAGCAAGCTGAACATCCCACTGTGGGAGATAAAGAGGAGTCTGAGAGGGCAAACAGCAATGAATTGTGGGAAAAATGAATGACATATAGGCAAGGACGCTTAAAGAAGTATCAAATGAAGGGAAATTTTATCCGAATGGAGAATTTGGATGGCAGACAAGCAAGGTTATCTGAGGATCTTTTACCATCTCCAAGTAATATGCCTCACGGTTTGCCTCCTGTGCTCCAGAGTCACTTGCATGCAATCTGTTCTCTGCACCAGTTCAAGGCATCAAATTAGATCACCTCCAAAATATTAAAGATATGCCCACTGTTGTCTGGGTTGTTTTTAGACCTTTGACCACCCAGGCAAGCAGGCAGGCAGACATAAGACAACAGAATCATTCTGGCAAAATAGGGGGTGTCTTTTCTATCCAGTTCTCTCACAATCTTCTTTAATTCTTGTCTTGCATGTTTTTAGGTCTGGTCGGTGCCTGAAGGTGGTCTTACAAGATCTCTGAATGAACCTCTGGTGACTCTTGAAGGCCACTCTAAAAGGGTGGGGATTGTGACATGGCACCCAACAGCCCAGAACCTCCTGCTGAGTGCAGGTAAGGAAAATCAGGCCCAAAGATGGGCCCAGGGCCACAACCGCAATCTGCCACCTTCCTAATCATGACTGTTGTCTTCTTCCCATCTGCTACAGGCTGCGACAATGTCATAAAAGTCTGGGACGTGGGTGTTGGACAAGCGGCCATTTCCTTGGATGAGTTGCACCCAGATGTCATCTACAGTGCAGCTTGGAACCAGGACGGCTCTTTGCTCTGCACGGCCTGCCGGGATAAGCACGTGCGGCTTTTTGACCCCCGGACAGGAGGCACAGCAGCAAATGTAGGGAAAACTTTCACCTTCTAGAAAGTCTAAAACTGCCAGGTCCAGAAAAGGCTGATTTTTTTAAAATCAGGATGCAAATTAGATGAATAATTGCCTGTGTTAGCAGATTTGTCTGGTCCCCAAAATGGAGTGTCTCTTATTCTTCTAATGTTGTTTATTTTTGGCGGTGTTGGCTAATAGGTATTGACGATCAGCAATGTGGAGAGCCAAGTTTCCATCCAGCCATGAATTAATTCAGTGATTTATATTTCAAAGTATATAGTCAAAAGTTTGCAGAAACATTGCCATCACTTATTCCTTGATTTGTATCTTTAAATTCAAAAGCACACTACTGTTGATTCTAGAGACTTCCTCGTTAGCATTTATCTGTACCATGATCTCTGAGTCTTTTGGTTCTCATTTAATCAAAGTATTCATGAGAAAATCTCTGAACAACTGTAGAGAAAAAGAGAGAGGCATCCCCATAACAAGCTAGTGAGGATAGAATCAGCTGAGTAATCACAGAGTACTAATTGATTGGTGCAAAATCTGAAAATTCAATGGGATAGAGATTGACTTTGGAATGGTTTATGTGAAGCAGTGGTGATATCACCAGGCTCAAGGTTGACTCAGCCTTCCATCCTTCCAAGGTGGGTAAAATGAGGACCCAGATTGTTGGGGGCAATATGCTGACTCTGTAAACCGCTTTGAGAGGGCTGTAAAGCACTATAAAGCAGTATATAAGTCTATTGCTATTGCTATTCTACCAGTTCGGCCCTGTTCTGGTGTACCGGTACTGCCGAAGAGCAGTGGAGATTGAACTGGTTCTCTAAGATGCTGTGCTATTGGGCCCATTTGCCTGCCTGGGCTCCCATATTGACCTTTACGTCCTGATTTTGAAGCGCAGAGGCTTTGCGTGGCATAACAGATTGCTGCGCGTCATCTGCTGAAGTGACAGAGAGAGTACAGGATTACAGGAGTTGAGTTTGAAAGCCCCTGCACCTGTGCAAAGTACGCGTTTGGCACATACGCGTGTGCAAAGTGTGTGAGTGCATGCAAAGCATGCCCACCAAGCCATGCCCACCGAACCGGTGGTAAACTTTTTTGAAACGCAACACTGATGTGAAGGGCATAGTAGAAACAGTCTATACAGATAGACCTTGACTAGATTTGCACGTTGTATTTGCTAGGCAGTGCAGCCATTAAGGAAGTCATCACAAGACTGGATCCATTTTTGCTACCATTTTTATCATGGTTATTAAGCAGGTCATGGTTGTTAAGCAAATCGTGCAGTCTTTAAGTGAATCCTGCTTCCCCAATTGACTTTGCTTTTCAGTAGCCGACTGGGAAGATTGCAAATTGCAATCATATGCCAGCAAGACACTACAACCATTGTAAATGCAAGCTAGTTGCCAAGCACCAAATTGCAATCCCATGATTGCATAGGATGGGGTACAACAGTCATAATTTTGAGAATGAGTCACAAGTCATTTTCTCCTTGGCCTCCATAAGCTCAAATTGTCATTAAACAATTGTAAGTTGAAAACAACTTGTACCACAGTAGATTTTTGCATTTCTTACATGCCTTGGTAAATTATTCCTAATGCAGTCCTGGATTTACGGTTTCTGTTGCTAAGACAGTTGTTAAGTGAGTTTTACTCCATTTCCTTGCCACAGTTGTTAAGTGAATCACTACAGTTGTTAACTTAATACAGGTAGTCCTCAACATACGATCACAATTGAGCCCAAAATTTATGTTAAGCGAGAAATTTGTTAAATGAGTTTTGCCCCATTTTATGATTTCTCTTATCACATCTATTAAGTGAATCACTGCAGTTGTTAAATTAATAACATGGCTGTTAAGTGAATTTGGTTTCCCCATTGACTTGATTTGTCAAAAGCCGGCAAAGATGATCACATGACTCTGGGACACTGCAACTGTCATAAATGTGAGTCAGTTATAAAGCATCTGAATGTAAATCATGTGACAATAAGGATGCTATAATGGTTATAAACCTGAAAAATGGTCACAAGTCCCTTTTTCAGTGCTGTTGTAACTTTGAACGGTCACTAAACAAACTGTTGTAAGTCGAGGACTACCTCTAGCACGGTTGTTAAGTGAATCTGGCTTTTCCATTGACATTGCTTGCCAAAAGGTCACAAAACATGATCACATGACCCAGGACACTGCAACTACACATAAATATAAGCCAGTTGCCAAGTATCCCAAATTTGATCATGTGACCATAGGAATGCCACAACAGTTGTATATGTGAAAAACAGTGATAAGTCACCTTTTTCAATGCCGTTGTAACTTTGAACAGTCACTAAAATAATGGTTGTAAGTTGAGGACTACATGTGTTTCTTGTTACTTGCAAGCCTGCTTTTAAAGTCCATTTCTACCGATGGGCATCCTCATGTCTTCCAGATTGATTTATCATGGAGAAATGTTTCCTCTTGTTCAGAGAGTATTTCGCTCTTCCCTCAGTATTGATATGGGCAAATGAGATATTTTGTGCTGGGAGAGAAGGCTGGAAAATGGCCCAACAAAATGGGATTATTTCTCACTGTCCAGAAGTGGGCAAGACCTGGTCATTCATTTGTGGTTAAGCTTCCTTCTGCTCTTACAAGTCTCATTTTGTCTCATTTTCTCACCTTCAGGAATTGCCCCGGGCCCACGAGGGATCTCGTCCCGTTCGGGCAACAACTGTGAAGGATGGGAAGCTTTTTACAACAGGTTTCAGCCGCATGAGCGAGCGACAGGTGGCCCTGTGGGATCTGGTGAGCAGAGAGAATGGACATCTTTACAGGTGGTATTTGGGCAACGCCTTCCAAAGATTTGAATGGTAGAGGACGCCTGCTGTCCAAGGGATTTGAAAAGTGGGTGGCCCTTACCGTTCAATTAAGGCCAGTGAGGAAAAATGAGGGCAAGGCTATTGCCAAAGCCTTGCGTTGAAGAAGGTTGCAGGAAAGCCCGTTTCAACATCAAAGTCCTCTCCCTTGTGCATATTGTAATTCTTTTACAATAAACAATTTATTAAAGGACACGAAGTAGACCCAAGGACATTTCAAGAGGAAATTCACTCTGGTGTTGTAGGGATCTTCTGTATTTTGTACGGGAATTTTGAATGCTTAACACGTTTCATTTACTATTGAAGTCTTTAACAACAACCCTGTAAAACAGATCAACTATGATGCCCTATTTATTGATGGAGGGGCAGGCTGAAATTCTTCCCAGAGAACAAGAAGTTCTTGTTCAGAAGTCTGGATAATTGTTCTTTTTTTGAGGTGGGGTGGAGTGTTTACTTTTAAGCCAGTCTTGACTCCTTGTGACTGCCTAGACAAGCCCCTCAGTTTCCTTGGGAAGATTTTTCGAAGTAGTTTGCCCTTCCTTCTTTCTTTCCTTCCTTCCTAGAGCTGAGAGTGAATGACTGGCCCAAGGTCAACCTGCTGGCTTCATGCCCAAGGCAGGAGTAGAACTCATGGTCTCACAGTTTCTCGCCTGGTGCCTTAAAACCACTACACCACACTGGCTCTTTCCATCATTCTTTAGATCACAGAAACCCACAAGTATGTTTTGTAAGAACTCTATGCTTTTTCAGCACGTGGAACTATAAAGGAGTTTATAAAAGAGAATATTTGTAGCTTAGGGTTGCAATGAGTCCTTGGTGCTCTCTGAGCTTGCTTTCTTGCAGACATTTCATTAGTTTCAGGTAGAACTATGGCTAAACTATGAGAGTCTGTGAGGAACTGGGAAGGAACTGGGGAAGAAGTGCAGTTTGGATGAGACGAGACAACAGAGCCCAAATGTAGGAAGAAAGCAAACAAACATTTCAAAGAGATTTTGTCTTAATTAACTCAGTGTAACTCTGACTAGGAAGTTACTCTTAGGCTTTTATTCCAGACTAACTCTACAACTGTATTTCTAAAATCCTTCCTTCTTTCCTTCCTTCTCTTTCTCTTTCCCTTCCTTCCTTTTTCTTTCCTTTCTTTCGTTCCTTCTTTTTCTTCTTTCTTTCTTTCTTTCTTTCTTTCTTTCTTTCTTTCTTTCTTTCTTTCTTTCTTTCTTTCTTTCTTCCTTCCTTCCTTCCTTCCTTCCTTCCTTCCTACCTTCCTTCCTTCCTTTTTTCCTCTATAGAGAAATCCTGAGGAACCATTGACTCTTCAGGAGCTAGATACAAGCAGTGGCGTACTCTTGCCTTATTATGATCCAGACACCAACGTGGTTTACCTGACCGGCAAGGTGAGTCCTGAGTGAAGGGGAAATCCTGGCAATGCCAAATCTAGAAGCAACATTTTGGATGAGCTCAGCGGGGGAAGTTCTTTAACAAGCAGAAATTAAAAGAGCCTCAACATCCACTGCAGGGTGACAGCAGCATCCGGTACTTCGAGCTGACTGGCGAAGCGCCCTATGTGCACTATTTATCCATGTTTACTTCCAAGGAGTCGCAGCGAGGAGGCGGATGGATGCCCAAACGAGGGCTGGATGTCAGCAAGTGCGAGATTGCCAGGTAGAGAATGTGTGTTTTGCTCCCCTGCTTCCTGCAAGAGGTTCACAGGGATGTGGTCTCCCATCCTATTTATAAACCCCCTACCCCCCCAACACTGGTATCAAGTGAAGGTGACAAATAGCACCAAAAGGTACAAAACCTCTGCAAGCTTCACCCCTGAATAGAAACCTGACACTTTCTTATATTCTGTTGCAATCCAACACTCAGATTCCTTGGGCCAAGCATAAATAATACCTGGGACTTTTTAGCTTTTGTTTTAGAGGAGACCCTTCCAAAGATTTTTTTCTCTCTCCTTCCTAGAATCATTTTTTATTCCTTCTAGATTTTACAAACTACATGAGAGGAAATGTGAACCCATTGCTATGACGGTGCCCCGGAAGGTAAGAGTGGACCGACCCTTTACGGTCGGTAGGAAAAGGCATTGGGAGAACAACTGAAAAAACAGTTCATAGCAGGGAAGGAAAGGGCTGAGGCTCGTTTCTCCTTGAGCCTAAGGAACCATCTCTCTAGAAAGCTGCATTGGCACCATTCTGCCATTTAGAGGGGCATCATCTGCTTCAGGATGGCCAAGGTTGAGTTTCTCGTGGATAATTTCTTGGGGAATTGCAAACGGGCAGGGACCAACCTCCTCCTCCTCCTCTTTTTTCCCTGTCCAGCAGCTTGCCAAGAAGATGAACTGATTGCTTTTTAAATTAGGCTGAAGGCCTCAGGTTGGTTCAGTGCTGCTCTGTACCTCTCCAGAGTTTCAGGTAGAAGCCTTACCTGGATATGAAGTGTTAGAGAACAGTTGCCCCTTACAGTGATTTGCTCTGCTTTTGCTTCTTCCTTATAATCAAATCTCTGCTGCAGAGGAATAACCTCGCTGCCTCCATTGTCTGCATCGTTTATCATTTTGGATACAATAAAGAGTACAGGTAGCCCTCAGATTGTTTTACAAAGGTTGCAAAATTGGAGGATGGTCACAAGATGACTGTCACAACTTACAGTCAGAATTGTGAGCTCAATTGTGGTCGTCAATGATGGCCGTAAAGCAGGTGGCCATGTGACTGCATCTGATTTTACAACCTTTTTTTTTGCAGGAATCATTGAACCAATGTGGCAGTCATTAATTGAACATTGGGTGGTTGTGAACCCGTTGGTTGCTACGGAGCATTTTTTGCAAGAAACTGGGAGCAAATGCTGGTTTCCAGCAAAAACATTGTAGCAGGATCCAATCTGGGTTGACCACTGGGACCAGAGGTTTTGTCTTCCGTTCTTTCGGATTCGTGCTGGAGTCCATCTTCAGGGAACGTCTGGTCCCAGTGACTGACCCAGACTGGATTCTGCAACATTATCCTGGGATACATACATCCGCCTACATCTGAAAAACATTGTAAATCATGGTCATGTGACCATAGGCTATTGCAAACTGCTGTACAGGTGGCCTGGTTGCCGAGCGGCCCAAATGTTGTCACTTGATGTGGGGGAAAGGATGTTAGAGCTTTGCATTTGGATCCTACGTAGCTTTTTCAAGGTCTTTTGTAATTTTGAATTTTTGCTAAGCGACAGGGTATAAGTCAAGGCCTACCTGTATAGAATTACATGGCCTCAGATAATTATGGAGGAAGGAGAGATTTCCTGGGGATCTAGCAAACACAAGCTAGGAACGTTAAGGAGACAGCAGCAAAGCTGACCACTGAGAGTCACAATTGTTTGATTTACTTGGAAGAGTGCAATAGAATGGGTTCACGTGTCATGCCAAGTCGTGGCTTTGTTAATGAGGGTTCATTGAGCAAATGAGAATGGCCCAGGGCACACTTAATGTGAAACTAACTTTGATAGAATGAATCAGAACTGCTGGTTCATGCAGTGTGCTAAGCTCAAACTCAGAAAACATATAATGTGGCTTTGTATAAATCCAGCCATTGCAGTAAAAGGAGCCTTGATTTATGAAGCCTTCATATTCTTGATTTAGGAATGTTGTAGTCGTAAGATGGGGAGTGGATCACCACACTAATTTTTCACAGCCCAATACTATCCAAATATGTTGAATTTCAGATCTAATAATCTTCTAGGCAGCCTCTTTATTTAGTCATTGTTGGTAAAGAGGGCTTCTTGTTTCGGGGACAATATAGTGCTTGGGAGCCTCTGCTAGCATCTAATCTATCACTTGATCTCCTGGGTTGATCCAATGTGCTTTTCTCCTGCTTTCGATCCCGGGACACAAATCATTTTAAATAGCTTGTGGTTCTCTCAAGTCTACACTCCTTACAGAAACATGGTAAATGCATCGATTTACCGAGGGAGCTCATCCGTTCCAAAATTATCAGAGTCTTGGTTCAACACATGTAACTTTTATCCCGAAATAAAAGTTGCAAAGCCACCTTCCCAGTTTCTTGAGATAGCTGTAGCCATTTGCCCACTGAACAAGCAGTTTCCTTTCTGTATCTTCACCATCTTTTGGGCAATTGTTTAATCAGGTTGGACTTGGCTCTTGGAGCCTATACAGGTGGTCTCAACTTACGACAGTTTGTTTAGTGACTGTTCAAAGTTACAACAGAACTGGAAAAACTGACCTATGACCATTCTTCACTTACAATTGTTGCAGCATTCCCCCGCCAGTCATGTGACCAAAATTCAGAAGCTTGGCAATTGATTCATATTTATGATGATTGCAGCGTCCTGGGATCATGTGATCACCATGCAGTCAATGGGGAAGCCAGATTCATTTAACTGTGTTACTAACTTAACATCTGTAACAAAAAAGGTTGTAAAATTGGGGGGAAAAGCTCTCTTAACATCTGTTCTGCTTAGCAATGGAAATTTTGGGTTCAGTTGTGGTCATAAGTCAAGGACTTATGCCCCATATAGAATGCTGACATTTGGGATGTGTAGTGAGAGGTTGAACTTCTGTTTTTAAATCTGGAGGGGAAAGGTTCTTCCTCGCTGTAATGCCGAGACTGTGTTTTTGTATGGTTTCTGCAGTCAGACCTGTTCCAAGAGGACCTATATCCTGACACACCTGGTCCAGATCCTGCCTTGTCCTCAGAGGAGTGGCTAGCAGGCAAGGATGCAAGCCCCATCCTCATTTCCCTCAAGGATGGCTACACTCCCCAGAAGAGCCGAGAGTTCAAAGTCAACCAGACTCTCCTGCAGGGGCCCAAGAGAAGTCAACTTCCACACGACAGGACCCAGCAAGGGGTAAGGAGGAGAAAACCCAAGGGTCTAGATTAGGTCTCCTGGGGTATTTGGTCTTGGATTGGCCTTGACAACCCATTGACCTTCATGGTCCTCATCTTCTCCTGGAAGACCACCCAATGTTCCATACACCTTTGTGGACAGCGGGGAGGGCGTGTCTTTAACCCCGAGAGAAACATTTGCCTTTTGTGGTCCTTCAAGGCTTTGGGAAGGTATACCTGAGGACCTGACATTACTGGAACAGGCGAAGCCTTGCTTTTTAGCCTTTGCCCCTTATAGTCTTATAAATGGGAGAATCTGGCCTAATTTTAAGGATTTTGGAAAGATCCCTATTCTCTACTAATGATAGGGACATCGTGATGTTCTAGTTATGCACCCTGCAATCAAGTTTTTTCAGACGACATTATGCAGGAATGAAGATTTGCATAGAGTTGGGGAAATTTTAGAACAGTGATAAATGCTTTGAGTCAAAACTGTAGATTACTTTAAGGGAGTGATAACACATACTTTTTATAAATAAAATCTGCTCTTCCAGTGTTATCAGTAATTATAATAAAGTTTACCACATAATGTATCCTTTAGGGTCCAGCTTTAGATCAGCTCTCAGAGGACCTGAAACGGCTGCAGGCTACTGTGTCGGAACAGGAGCGACGCATCTCAGAGCTGGAAAGGATTGTGAAGAAATAGCTTCTCTCTCTTCCTAGCCAGTCTGGTTCTTCATGAGTCACCATGGACTTTGTTTCACTGGCCTTTTAAAGCCCCTTTGATTTTTTTTTTTAAAAATGGGTGGATCCTCAGGGCATTATAAAGATTCATCCACCCTAAGCTCAGGGCAGAAACTCAGTTTGTCTGTTCCAGACAGAGCCCCTTTTCTGAGTTAACAGATTCCACCTGCAAAGATTTGAAATACTTCTTCGCTTTGCCTTGGTGAAAGCATTTGGGATGATAGCCCATCTATTTACAATCTGCAGGCTTGTATCTCCTAGGCCTCCAGTTCTGGATCTTCGCTTTCTGGTTCCTGCTCTGCTTTTCCCCTTAGAAAACAAAAGTTCTTTCTCTGGATTTTTTTTTAAATGCTGCATTTCCTCTTACTTAAAATTTTACTTCTGAGGGAATTTGTTTTAACAGGGCTAAAATATTTAACTGATCATCACTCAAACGTTTGGATCATAGGTATGCAATTTTAGTTAATTAGTCAGTAACCCAACCCAAAATTGCAGGGAGCGAATCCTTTGGAAGGCAGATTCCCCACTTTCTGAGAGGGAGGAAGGGAAATCTATCTGCGTAATAATCTAGGCTTGTTTATTTGGAACAATTTTGCATCTATGTATTGAATTCAAACCGTTTCATTCATCTGAACTCACCTGGAAGTTATATAGCGGACCTTTTTTATTCAAGTTTTAAACGATGGTTATTCTTGGGATCAATTCCCTGTCCCCGCTAGGAAGTTCTCTCCCACGTCTGACATTGAAAGGCTCCTTTGGCCTAACAGAGCTATTTAAATCCTCTTTATCACTTTATCTTCCATGGAATGGTCTACCCATCTCAGATATAGATATTTTTTTCACCCATGTATTCATCAATGATTTGTAGCCGATCCTTTAAATGTAATAGAATTAATTAATTAATCCTGTTGATCTAGGTGTCCCTTCTCTTGATTAAGCACGGGGCCCAATTTGAATAGTTGACCAATGACCTGTGGTGGCTTTCCCCCTCCAAAATGAAATCAGAGTAAGGAGCAAAGTTTTCATCTCCCACAAAGGGAGGACTTTTTAACATTGGGAAGAGCCCGGAAGGACCTTTTCCAGGTAACCAACGTTTTATTAAGACATTAAAAGCTTTGGTGAGCTGTAGCTCACTTGGTGAGATGTATGGAGTGTCGAGACCAATTTAAAATGGAGGGAGATAGAAGAGTAGAAAAATCAAGTTGGTTATGCAGATACAGATGATACATGAGAGGTTACAAGTAGCCTATCAGTTAACAATTCTAATATGTTAAAAATTTATTGCTGAGAACTGAGATTGCTTGAATGCTTTAGAATTTCTCATTAAACGGTGCTGATAAAAATTTGGTTTAAAAAAAAAATACTTTGAGATATCTCATGGTGTCCTGGCAGGTGGATTCCTTGGTATTATTGTGTCCTTATTTTGAGTTCTGATGTCAGTGCCTATTAAGCTTATGCCTTTTAATAAAATGTATTGGTTGGAAAAACTGTTACCCGACTCCTGGTTTTTGCCACCACAGACTAACCTAGTTCTCCCCCTGCAAAGGACATTTTAAGAAATGGAAAACAGGGACAGATAGTTCCCAACAAGAACTGGTTATGCTGGTTTTTTGGGATCATCATAAATGATATTCTTTGATGCATCATTTGGTCCCAACCAGCAGCCAACATTCAGATCAGCAAGTCTCAACACCAAACGATCAGGCAGAAAATACAGATAGTCCTCACATAACAACCTAGTTAGGATGGCAAGCAACTCTACCACTAAATGAAACTAGAAAATCAGTTTCACACCTTCCTCTTTTTTCACACTCCTGCCTTTTTGAAATGCCTGCTTACTGTCTTGCTTGCAATGAAAGCAACGCAACTTCACTGGCAACCCAGTGGACACTTTACACAAACAGCTTACAGCACTCTCTTGAGATCTCTTCCTCTCCAATCTCTCTGCTCTGCCAGAGTTAGGGACAGTTGAGGGAAGCAAGCAATTTCTGCAGGCAATCTCCCCTTTGCCTGATCCTCCCATCTCCAGCAAAGAAAGACTGGAAATTGGATTTCAAGAAAACAAACTGCTACACATCAATCAAGAATACTGTGATCACATTAATGGTGGGGAAAAGTCAGGCAAAGGAGAGATTTATACAACTGCATTGCTTCTGATACATAGAACAACAAAAGGCTTCATTTCCTTGCAATCCCTTTATCTAATCAATTTGCTCTACAAGGCGAGGGGAGAAATCAAAGTAGGCACAGGACAATGTCTATTGACTGTAGTGTTGTTCGTATGACTGAGAGACACCACTGAAGTTGTAAATGTTGTGCAAAGTTAGTTTTTTCAACACCATGGTAATTTTGAATGATCACTGAATGATTAAGTGAGAACTACCTGTACTTCCATCAAAGAATCACCAGGGTGGAAACTACACACCTATCAACAGGCAGGGAAACTATTGCAAATAAACAGCAAACCTCACACACACTGATGATGTTATCTAGCTGACTGATAAAATGCCTGCAAGCGAACAACCAAATTCATAGTATAAAGAACTCAAAAAGTGTTCATTTTCAAGATTTAAACAATGAAATGGAAGAACACTGCCTTAGTAGGAGAAAGCTACCTTCTCCCCACCCAATGCAAATCTCAATATTAAAATGAGTCTCCAAGATACGTGGTATGGGAATAAACAGACGATACAAACAGTCATCTCACAATCTTTCTCCAGTTTTATTTTCTGCTTCATACTTTCTCAAACTTTCACAGTGCTTCTCCCGAAGCAATTCCCGCATTGCTAAATTTGGTTCACAGATGCTTCTCTTTACCATCTTGGAATTTTTGGTCTCTGTAGTATTTGCTGCTTTTGTTACTGATGAAAAGGAGGAAGCTTGTGCCTCACTTAGCTTCTTGTTCCTTTGCCCACTGTTCAGGAGTCAGTGTTCTCTGCTCAAAGGCATGAATAAGCTTCAGTTCTTCAGATAAGAGTTCATTGACCAGTCTTAAGGAAGGCAAGACAAAAAAAAGAGAAGGAATACAATTGGGACATGGCAAATGGAAATCAGGAAGAACAAATGCATTCCACCCCCATATCTTTACACCTGAATTGCTAATTGTTTCAAGAATACATTGCAATTAGTTTAGTTCACACAAGATGCCAAGCCAAACAGGCAAAGCTCACTTTGGCCTAATGCATCTTCTGCCTGCATTGGAGAAGCCCCTTAGCTAATAATGCATTTCTCCTAGTTCCAAGCTTTTTTTTTTTCAAATTTAAATTCAACCTCTAAGATGCATAATAAAAATAGATGGATGTTAAAAAAACAACTTTGCATATTTGGCTTAACCATAATTTAATTAATCATCATGATTTATTGAATTCATATGCCCCTTCCTCCAAAATAAACTCCATTATGATTTTGCAAGTAGTTCTCTACTTGCAACCACTTGTTTGGCAGCCATGTGAAGTAACAATGGCACTGAAAAGTGACTTACAACAGTCTTTGGACCATCGCAGCATTCCCACAATTACATGATCAAAATTTGCGTGCTTGACAATTGGCATGCATTTATGATGGTTGCAGCATCCTCGGTTCATATGATGAACATTTTTTAAAAAAAATTTTATTCTTCATATGATGAACACTTTTGACCTTCCCAAATAACTTCCAACAAGCAAAGTCAATGGGAGAAATTGGATTCAATTAACAAGCGTGTTATTCGCTTAAAAATTGCAGTAATTTGCCCCATTTCCAGAAAGATTTCTAAGAACGAATCTGCTCATAAATTTAAAAGCAATGCTAATAGTTTCTGAAGCTTAAAAAAGGAGAAAGGATGGAAGTGCACTTCCATCTCTCAGGAGGAGCTCAGCTGATGGCTTGGCAGGTTCATCCAGAGTTCCTTTTACAGAAAAATCTGCTTTACTAAATGTGCCCATTAGAAAGAAGAGCCAAACAGGACTTCTCAGTTAAGTGAGACTGAAGCTGTGTGTCAAGTGCAAAAAATCAGAAATTGTAACATAATTTTAGCATAACATAGATTTATTCAAGCCTCTACACAGGAATCTGGTCAACTAAAGTTCAGCACTTAACAACTGGTGACAGATAAGAGTCAAAGAAATTCAAGAGGGCTGGGACTTAAAGCACTTGTGGGAAAGCAAGAACTCTAAACTGATGACGTGCTTAACTCTGCCCCCAGCTCTGCCTGCTCTTCCCCTACACTGTGATGTTTCAGTTTATTTCAACAGACGTAATATTTTAAAAGAAACAATGTTAGTTAAAACAATGCTTTACCCAAACTGGTAGAGGGGTACATTTCTCCCACTTAGCCACAGCTGAGAACCCTCTAAATCAGGAATATCCAACCCTTGGGCCATGGACTTGTATCAGTCCATGGGCCTGTTAAGAACTGGGCTGCACAAAAGACAGGCGAGCAAGTGTATACGCAGGATCTAGGTTGCGCACCAAACCATACCCCTCCCCCAACGGTCCGTAGAAAAATTGGCTTCCCCAAAACCAGTCCCTGGTACCAGAAAAGTTGGGGACTGCTGCTCTATATGGTGGGAGACATAAATAAATCATACATGTTTCCTTTTGGCATTAGTAATAAATAGAAATGATACCATTCTGGTTATATGAAGAGCTAGTCCTTGCTTAATATTCAATGAGTATTCGAAGTAAGATGGTGCTGAATGAATGGCATTTATGACCAGTCTTCGTAGTTAAGGCAGTCCCAGTATCCTTGCAGTCGTGTGACCAAAATTCGGGGGCTTGGCAGCCTGCCTGCATTTACCACTGCAGTGCGAGCTTCAGCTCCACCTACCTGCCTATTCTGTACCCCTTCTCTGCCCTTCTGACCACTTTACTTCACTCCATCACTCTGGACTCTCCTCAGCAAGGCGGAGGACAGCGTGGCTGGGTCATCAAAAGGGCAGAGATGGGAGGAGGGGTGATAAGTGAGTGGAGGCAAGCATGACTGGGCAGGAAAAGCATGAAGTCCTCACTTAATGACAGATGGTCCTGGCCTAACAACCGCAACCAGGGGGTGCGGTCACACTAAAATTTA